CCGCCGGGAAGCCCCTCCCCGTCCTTCCGCTTACGCCCAGAGGCAGCCGTGCCCCATGGGGGAGCTCCGCTCGGCTCGCCCGGTGTGCGTGATGCCCGCCAGGCCCAGCCCCCTCCCCCAGCCCAGTCCTTAGGGGGTGTCCCTCCTGCGCAGGCCTTGCTTGTTCCAAAATGTTCCCCGGAACGCAACAAATGTGGTCCTCCCTCTGCACCACCATCTCAGCCACAAGCAAGACTCCTCAGCTGCGCCTGTCCAGCTGGCTGGGTGCGGGACCCCGGAGATGATCCGGAGGAAGCCACCTCGGAGGCCCAGGATTCCCGTCTTCCCCTAGCAACCTACGTCGGGCTCCAGGAGCTCAAGCCAATTCTACCAGCATGGACCAGACTAGTGACTCCAGGCCCGCACTATCCCGGAAGCGAAACCGGCAACTTTCAGACCAAGCAGGCAGCTCACCGTGTGGTCCCTGTGCCCATCGCAAACCAGACAGGGTTATCCTAGGCGTGCCATTCCCTGGTCATGGTGAATATCCCACCGAGTCATGCCAGGCCTGTGAACATCGGTGCCCCCAATTTCCTTCTTGAATCCCCGCTTGCTGTGATCGCGAGGGGGGGGCGACTGGCTGAAGGGAGTTCTTGCTGCCAGTGCGTGGGGGGTTCCGGGCCCCTTGCTGCTCCCAGCCTCCCAAGTCCGCTTTTGCGCAGTCAGTCCAGGCCGTGCGCCCCCTCGAGCACTGCTCTCAAGGCACTTGCAGGAGGCGCAGCCAGCCAAGAGGGTGGATGCCTGCCTGCCTGCCTGCCTGCCTGCCTGCCTGCCTGCCTGCCTGCCCGCCCGCCCGCCATGAGGGGGCTCATGGCCAGGGGACAAAATGCAGCAGGCAGACGTCCAGAGGCCCCCGGAGACAGCCGGCAGCCAGTTTTCCTTTCCGCCCTCTCCCCGCACTGCACCCCAGATGCGCAGGTGGGAGGGGAAAACGCCCCCACCTGCAAGACTCCAGTGGTCCCACCTCTCTGCGGAAACGGCCCCAACCGGAGGCGACCCTTCTGGTCCCAAGCTGTGCCCGCAGGGCAGCCTGCTTTCCATCCGCTCACGGGCCTGGCGGGGACACTCAGCTCCGGCTGCAGCTGCCCTTCACTTCCTCAGGGTCGCTCTCCTTAGCGTTACAGGACTGTCCAGTTGGAGGGGCCATGCAGGCCGTCAGGTCCACCCCTGCTGGCGCAGGACACCGCTTCACACCACCCCACGCAGGGGGCTGCCCAGTTTCGCCCCGAACGTCCCCAGCATGAGCGCGCCCTCCACCTCTCCGGGCAGCCGGTTCCACCGCCCTCTTGCTTCGACCTGGCAGGGCTCCCAGGAGAGCGCCTGGCTCAAGACGGCGTCACAGGACTTTGCCTTTCGGGGCTGCCACCACAGCACTTACCAAGGTGGGACTCAGCCAAGCCAAAACCTTAACCAAACTGTGCCGACATGATACTGAACAGAACCACCTGGCCATTGCAAAAGACCAAACCAAACCAAACCAAACCGATGCCCAGGTCCGGTCCTTTGCTTTGATACATCAGCATCCCATCCACAAATTGCAATACTGCAGTTTTAACATATAGATGAGCTTCTGCAGATGCAAGACTGATTATGCCATCAGCTGTACTTGAATGTCAGTTTTTAAAAATTCCTTTAGAAAATTGCTTATATCCACAAGGAGATGGCAGCATTGAAACTGTAGCTCATGTGCTCTTATTTTGTAATTTCTGTAAAGATCGAAGGACAAAGGTGCTCCCCCCCCCCCCCCGCTGCTACCTATTCCAGGGCAACCTGTTTCTGCTTATCTATCTTTACTTTTAGCAGATCAAACAAACAGGTCATGATGAAAACTGCAAAATCCTTGGCTGGAACTACCAAAATAAGAGCTCCTTTTGTTTCAGAGCTCGATAGGTTCCAAGAGGCGGGTATAATGCATTATCTAACGATTTTGGTGTGTACATTTTAATTGTTGTTATTTCTGTGCATCTGTATTTCATACGCCTGTGGCTGACGCAAATAAAGACTGAGAGATCAATCGATTTCTCGGGCCTCTCACCCAGGTGTGAGCACAAATTGAGAACCCACCGTTTCCCTGTTTGCAGAAGGCAGTGACAGGTTTGCAAAAAGCCTGTCTGGTCGGTCGCCGTGCCTGTTTCGCACCCGGCCCTCCCCGCCTCGGCAAGCAGCCCCCTCCCGGCTGGCCGCACGCCACCGGAGCGCCTCTCCCGCAGGGGCTGGGGAGCCACGCCGGGCCCCTCGGTTCCAGGCCTCGGCTGCCCGGCTGAACCCTGCGCTTTGCGGAGCCACGGCCTGCAGGAGGGACTAATAAACCAGCGACGGCTTTTTGCGTTGCCTGAACTCAGACAAGGGAAACCGTGGTCAAGGCAGAGAGCAAAGACTCTCCTGGCGAAGAACAAAGGGCGAGACACACCGGCCGAGGGGCGAGCGGGAAACTGCTTTTCCCAAGCACCCCGAGGGTGCCAGGCGCACACAGGAGAAGCTGGGAGGGGGGCCTTGCTCCCTGCTAACAGCTCCCCAGGGGCAGAGCGTGGGGAAACCGCACGCGGGGCAGCAGGGTTGTTCATGCAACCCCCCCCCCGTGGGGGTCTTTCTCACAGGTTCTTGGGGGAGGGTTGGGGGGCTTTGTGCCTCTGGGTTACTTACTTACTTACTTACTTACTTACTTACTTACTTACTTACTTATTTATTAAAACATTTTTATGCCGCCCCATTCGCCGAAGCCTCGGGGCAGCTTACAACAATAAATTAAAATAACATTTTAAAATATATACATTAAAATACAAATATACAATATAAAACATACAATATAAAACAAGCTGCCCTGGCCAGATAAAATTCAATAATATTAACATTTAAAATACTGCTTAAATAAAAAGGTCTTCGCCTGGCCAAAAAACAAATAACGACGGCGCCAGGCGGACCTCTCTGGGGAGTGCATTCCATAACTTAGGCGCCACCGCTATCCGTCCATGGCCACACAGGCCCTCCCCAAACACCCCCAGGAGCTGCTGCAAAGGGGGCCTTCCACCCACGACCGCTCCAAAGAGAGCCAGGAATGGCGGTGGGCTTCCCAGTGGCCGTGTGCTCGCTCCGTGGGCAAGTATCCGCGCCGAACTGCAACACCGGAGACGCCTACTGTTTCTCCGGTTTTTCTTTTCAAGGTGGGGGTGTGGAACGAGCCCCCTGCAGCCGAGTCCTCGGGGGGTTGGGGGTACACAGGGGGCCATGCGGTGCCCACATCTCCCCACCTGCGGGGGTGGCAGAGGCACTTCAAGAAGCCCGGCCCGGCCAGCACCCAACAGCCCACCACTGCCCAGGGAACCGCTCGGGGCTCCGGCAGCGTCCCCCGGCATGCCCGACACAGAGGGGCTTGACCTTGCAGCACGGCTACCGTTCCTGGAGGTTCAGCAGGTTGTGTGAAGCCAGTGTTCACGCGCAGGTCACAGGTGCCACTGGGGGCATCTGCAGGGGGTGTCGCCACCAGTCTGAGCAGCCCCTTCTGAGCCAGAAAGACCAGCTGCATCGGCGCCCCTGGGCCTCCTCTGGAAGAAGCAGCGGGCCCCAAATACGGGAGCCAGGATGGCCTCTGGCCTTCACGGGGAGCCCGGCCCCACCGGAGCGGAGATCTCTCCACGGGCGGCCGAGGGGACTCCAGACGCAGGACGGGGTGCTGGCAGTTACCCCGAAGGCCTTCCGTGGTTCGGGGCCAACATATCTGCCGGAGCATCTCTGCCCATAAACCCTGCCCCGTCGCTACCTCCCCAAGTCTGCTTCTGCAAAATGAACGCCAACTGCCCGAGGGTCCTGTCCGGTGGCCGCCCCTCGGCTGCGAAGCGACTCCCAGGAGAGCTGCATCCGATGTCCCAAACCACTGCCCACAAGGCGCTTCTCTTCTGCCAGGGCTTCCCAGATTTGTTTCATTCAGCATTTTGCTCTTAATCAAAAATTAAATTATTTGTCTGCCTTGCTGTAATCCACCCAGAACCTGTCAGAATGGGGAAGTATATGAACATCAGTAGCAGCAGCTGCAACAGATGATGATGACGATGATGACAGAAGCATAGAATAGTAGGGTTGGAAGGGGCCATGAAGGCCATCTAGTCCAGCCCCCTGCTGTTGCAGGACAGCAAGTCACACCATCCCACTCAGGTGGCTGTCCAGCTTCTTTTTGAATGTCTCCAGGGTGGGAGAGCCCCCCACCTCTCCCCTGTCGTGTTGCTCTGACC